GCACTAAAATTTTCTGGAAAATTGTCAGTATTTGTCGTTCTAACGAAATTATTTATATCACGTTTTGAGAAAAAATCATGAGCTTTTCAACAGCGTCTGCGAAAATTCTTTTTGGCATATCAGACATAAGCTGTTTGAGAATTCAAATCGTAATTTTTGAGCAATGGTTTTTGAAAATGCTGGAAGTTCCAAGAAAATCTAATCCTATTTTTGCTCATGGAATTACGACCTACTCTTTTTAACTGAACAGAATATGTATTGATTGAATTTTACTATAAAATTATGGTCTTTTTCTGACTGAAGCCAGTTGCTTCAAATAAAATCTCTAATATACATGAAAAAAGAGCACCTGCTGTCTGTTCAAATTAATTATGTAATTCGTAAAATATTACGAGAACTTTCAAAATTTTTGGTACAAGACTTGAGAACCAAATTAATATGATGTCTACTCGATGAGAACTAGCTTATTACCAATCCGACTGTCCCTTCCACTGCTCAATGCGCTTCCGTTTTAACTGCTTCTTCATCTATAAAAAATCCTGCGCATAGCTTAGCACCATTCCACAAAAAAAAACTCCAGATGATCTTTTTCTAGCGATTGTCTTTTGTAGCGTCGTCGGATCACGACGAGCACACCACAGCTGCGGGGAGGGTCCAAGGCGTTTTCGATGCCACCACGCCCTGCCGTCGTTGTCTGCTCCTGATCATACGTTCATTCTTGATGACCACAAGTCTTTTGTGGTCATCTTCTGTTTGTCTTTTGTTCTTCTGTCTACCTTCAATGAATTTTTTCTGTACTGCAAAAATCTCACTTTTCTTCGAAGTTTGCAGTGTACAACTTGAGCTTTTTGCTTAGTCAGGAGGGATCATTACCTGCTTCGGTAAAGAACAATAAAGATGAAACCTCACAAGTCATCATATCACATCCATCATTTACATCTCCGAAATTTGGTAAATAAACTTCTCGCTTGGTTCTCATTAGAACTCATCTCAATAAAACGTCGTAGTCATTGCTATTGATGATCTCTCTCTTTTCCTCTCTCTCTTTCGCATCTCAAATTCTCTAGAAACACTTTTTGTAGATTACAATCCATATAGTCGTAAATTTTGCAAAACCACCTCGCTTGTGGTCAATATTATTGAATGCACCAAAAGACCCTGTATCGGCTGGAAGTGCAAGCATTGAGATTATAACAATACAAGCGGTAGATGTAGATTAAGCTCATCAAGTGCATAAAGAGAAAAACCAATTCCTGTGCAGCCGGACCATCATTGTGGATATTATATATACTGCATGGATAATTTTTTGTGACTGCAATAATCATAAGGAGTTAGGCATGAGGCAGCAAAGGCTAGCTGCCTTCGCTTCTGGAAGTGCCTTGGAAGCTCAAGACTTCCTCGGGCCTCTCATCACTCCTCGCACCTTTGATTAACAAGCAAGATAATCAAACGAAAATCTTCTTGAAGAGTATATTACTTTGGAAATCTGGCGATTTCTTTCAGTCTCAGCTATACACGGTTTCAGGTCAATGAAATGTAGAGTTCAGGGCAGTTTTGTTCGAATTTCGTGAAGCAGAAAGAATTGACTCTGCCACAAAGTTGAGGACATGTGCTATTGCTCTCTTGTCCTTGCCTTCGGTCGGAGTGACTGAGATGAGAACGATTTAAAAGAGTATGTCACAAATCCTGCTTGAAGACTCAATACCCAAGTTATACTTGCAAATCAACTCAAAAATTGATTTTTATACCGCTTTTGATATTGAATGAAGCTAATCTTTGAGTCTTATTCATACTTATTTTGCTATGATTTAAATATAGACCATATTTCCCGCAAGCTACCACGCTTGAAAAGTTTACCAACAACATAGGTCATATGAAGTAGATAGAGGTTCGAAGAAGTTATTAGAGGCGCGAGGAGGTCCGTAGCTCTCAGGTACTTCCACAAGAACGACAAGTCCTTGCTGCCTCACGCCCGACCGCCTAATCAAACACAATCACAATTCAAGAAAAGTGTCTATAAGAGGTTTAAGTCTAGTATAAATTTAGCGTAAGAATAGTCTACTTTGCTATCGATCACAAAAGGGTATCAGTTGCTAAAATGTGTAGCTAGACCTCTGTACAATTCTGTACCCTCCAACAAAAAATCTTTTTTGATATGTACAACATCTTTAATAAAAGCTGGAGGTTGTCACACCTCGGACTTTGATGTAAAATATTTTTAAATTTTGGATAAATCTTCTCAAAAAATACGTTTAACTTCCTTGTATGCATGTACGAGTCAGTATACGAATTTTGCAAAGAAGATTTTGCAAGTCACCACACAGACACACAAAATCTCTCATCATTTCTCGTTTTTGTGCATTCGTCATATGCCACTCAAAAGCTCTGCTCCTGTAAAACATTGACTCATTTACGCTTGTTATGCAGTCGTACAATGCTATCTTTCTGGATTTTACAAAGTATAAAATTTTGATAACAAAATTGCTAGATCTTGCAGACGACACAGATTTTACTTGGTGAATTTAGTCCTGTAAAAGACGAGTCGGAAACTAAGGCTCCCGCCAGAGTGCCGAAGTTATGCCAGCGCTACGCCAGCATTTCGATCGATACACGTGTATTTCGTTGGGGCGGGGCTAGCTCAGCAGGTAGATGTCCCCAACGAAATACACGTGTATCGATCGAAATGCTGGCGTAGCGCTGGCATAACTTCGGCACTCTGGCGGGAGCCTAAAGATCAAAAAGAATGAAGGCTAGTTGTAGGCCAAACTTGCCTCTAGCAAATGATTATTTTGACAAACTGATCTATAAAATTCATTTCGCTGAAAAATCTTTTTTTTGGTTGAACTACCCATGTTATACGCCCATTTGCTCATGAAAGACCATAGACGATTTTGTTGACAGCAGCTGTCATTTGAAATGTTTATACTATGGCAAAGGTCGCGATACAAATTGATGCCGCTTGTTCTCGTAAGAGGAATGGTGGCAGAAAAATCACAACAAAGAGGGCAACAAGGGTAAAAAAAAAACTCAAGAAGTGTAGTTTATAACACGAGTTTGTAGCATAGCAAGCACATCTTTCACGATCCTCTTCAATGAACATTGTATACAAGGTAGTATGTCACTCGATATGTGGGAGTAATTGACAAGCGCAGTTGTTTCGGTTATTTAGTGTTTCGGGGGGAAGATCTTGCTACTTTCTTAAAAAAAAGTTTTGCAAGCTTGTGGGTCAAGTTTTAAGCAAGAGGAAAATGATTTTCATGCCCTTGCCTTGAATCGCTGCAGGGGCTGCTACTCCAAAAAAATGCAGATAATTTAACAGCAAAAACTGAAGCTTTATATGAACTTCAATAAACATTAACCAACCTCCCAAACACTTGCAATTTATTTAGCAACCAGCCTGTTGAAGAACTCTTTTTCAATCAATAGCTTTCGAATTTTCCTTTTTTTCACGGTCGACTATAGGGAGATTCTGAATCAGGTTTTTGCAAAAAAAAACTCTTTGATTGAAAATCATATTTCACTTCCTGACTGCTAAGCTTATCCAACTAGAATATTTCTAAAAAAATTTTCTTTATTTTCTGCAATTATTCAAGACACAACTTGCAGATCGCGTTATCTTCTGTGATAGCCGATCTCAACAGACCATTTCCAATTGGAAGTGTTATGAAAAAGTAATGAAGATTGATCTGTGACATATCACCAGCTGCGAAGAGAAATAAAAATAAAGAATCGAAAAAATTCTTGGATGCATACGTTCAGGTAACTAGGAAGTGAAGCAATTCTGGTAGACTTTCTTTAACATAGTTCAGCCGTTTTTATGGCCATTTCACAAACCTAACCTACGAGGTTTTTTTCCTCTCAAGGGCAATTTATGAATCTTTTTTACTTAATTTTTTACAAAAAAAGCTTATTTGTAGCAAACCTTGCAGCAGAACTATGATCAGTCTGATCCCTCTTCTCTTCCCATTTCTTTTCGACACTTTCAAACTGCATATGTTTCTGTGCTTAAACGCATGGTTCTCCTACATGCGAATGCGATGGTTGTTAGGCAGTAGCTCAAGATGTGATCAAATGAGCGATTGGCTATAAATTTGCATGCATCGGCTATTTGGAAGCGCTATTAACTTGAGACTTTCTTAACTTTTTAGTAAAGATTCGCTAAAGCAAAAGACAGTATAAAAGCTTCCACCTGTTTCACATCTGACTTTCTCTTCCAATTCTCATTTTGCTTGAGCATGGAGTGCAGTATCTTTCACTCTAAAAGTTTCATATTTCTCGAATTCATGTTTTACAAGGATTCTGATACATTACTGTCTACTAAAATTTGAATAGCTATAGCTCTATCCAAAGTGACTCTACTATGAAAAATAAAATAACTTTGAAATTTAGCATTCTAGAATTCTCACTACTGTTGAACATCAAATTGTGAGAGCAGTAATTATCCAGTCTTGATGGTAACTTACTTCCAGCGAATTCCAACTTTTTTGACACTCAGTACCTACATTTTTTAGCCTTAAAAACTGTAGATGAATTGTATAGAAAACAAAGAATTATAAACTTGGGCTATATATCGATTAGAAAAGCGACTTTAGTTTACAAAATTATATCTACTATCTTTGATTATTAGCCGTAATGAATAACAACCTTTTTTTTGCAATCCCGTACCAATAATTCCCTACATTTTGCTAGAAATATCCAGAGCCATAGTTCTTCAAAAGCATAGTCATAGAATACTCCTTCTTCGAACAATTTACATTTCTAAAAATTTTGTTTGAATTGGACTTACTCTCTTCATCTTCTCGCAGTGTTTTGGCTTCCTAGAGTCGCATCCTGGATCGGCTCTTAATTAAGCTGTAGGCAAATTTCCTCAGTACCTATGCTAACTCAAATGTGTTCCTCTCACTTAGTTGCTTCCTTTATTGAAAAAGCCAGAGCATCCTCTACCGAACAGTTGTTCGTTATTGATACCAACTTTTTCCTATTATTTTGCCTTTTTTATAGTACTGAACATGCCTCATCTTGCGCTGCTTCTACTTCTATTCGCTGCCCCACTTGCGCCCCAATCCGTGAACGAAATTCTCATGGATGATGAGTTAATCATACCAATAAGTCCAAATGAGACCAGCACTTCTGTGCCAAACACTACGCCAAAAGCTGTGGACGACGATCCGTTGACTAAAGGATCGCTGAGCAAATCCCATAAAAGCTCAACACGTCCGAAATTTGTCGAGCTAGCTATGAGACCGAAGCGGCAGCTAGATGAGGACCACGGCGTTCTTCTCGGCCAAGATCAGGGAGAATTCGTACAAGCAGACTATGAGCAGGGAGAATTCCAAGAGGGAGGCGGACATTTTGTCTCGTACACAATATCGCACGATACAACAGTTGATCGAAAAGAACGATCTAGTGAGGAAGTGGCCACAATCCCACCCTTCGAACCAATCGAAGTCATCGAATACGAAGTTAGTTATCAATTCTTTCATTTTAGGGTGCGATTCAAGAGTTGAAAATTATTGACGATCCATCTGAAGCCGCAAAACAATGTGATGAACTCTGGGTAGGATAAATATGCTCTATCTTGTCCTTAAAAAATTTGCATAAAACTGAAGAAGCAAGGAAAACTTGCGTCGAGTTAAGGAAAAGTATTTTTACCAGAAACGCCTTGAGAAGAACATTGTTCAACGAAAAAAGAAAACAGTTTTTTTCTCTTACAAGCACAGAAATTGTACTTGCTGCAACCTATCGGTATTTTTGAGAAAAAGGCTTATTGAAGTTTTGCTTCATATTAAAGCAGACGTTTTTGTTGATAACCACAAGTGCAAATTACGTTTTGGCTAAGATTTTGAGTGTAAAGATCAAATTAGAGGTTGACTGTAATTTTTTCTCACCTAAATGATCCCCAATCAATTATGAAAAACAATTGCATCTGAACAGTTGCTTTCTGGAAGTCTTGGAAAAACTATGGCGAGAAGGACTAACGCTTTGCATTTAATCGAAATTTTGTAGAAAATTTTGAATTTGAAAAAAAAAGAAAATCAAGCAAAAATGGTGTATCTACTATTTAGCATCATTCAAGTACTATTCCATAATTTTTGGGTAACATTAGCACTGACAACTCCTCATTTTACGATATTCAGTGAAATTGAAGTTGATTAGAATTTTCTATCTTAGTGGCGAAAGCGGAAAATTCTAAAGGCTCGTCACAAAATGCAGGTAAGTGTTGCCATCAGCCTATAGACCAGATGATGTGCTTTCCGCTATTGTGTCGTACCCATGGCCAATCCTTTACACTAAATTTTCTATACTGAAACAAAACAAAAACCATTTTCAGACGGATGACGAAGGGTCTGGCCTTGACCAGTTCAAAGATCAAGCGGGTAAATTTGGATTAAAACTCTCGTACCTTACTACCATAAAAACGATGAGTTTGCAGACAAAGCTGGCAAATCGCGAGAAATGGAGCTTCCACCCGCACCAACTCCTCCGCCTCCTCTTCCGATGGACCTGGAAAGGAAGCCTGTGCACGGTAAGGAATTTTCCCTTTAAATTCAAAGCACTCAATAGGTCACCACAATTTGGATACGGTCATCGCAATAGAACATTACAAATCCCCCTGTTTTACAAATTACGGGTGCTTCGAAATATTTTTCACGTTTGATCGGTGATAACTCTGCTGCCTGAACGGACTTTGCGTATTCTTATACAGCGTATCATAGGGCTTCAATTTCGAATTACTATACAAAACGAAAACCTACATCGCTCTGTATAAATGTAGGATAGATAGGTTTGGCACAGCGCCGACATGCAAATCAGGTGCCAGTTCAGAAAAATCCCAAAACTTCTGACTTTGACTGCTGGATTTTTGGACCGCAAAGTAAGGCAAATAAAATTTTGCATGCGCTATCACAGAAACCTTGTCGCAACTTTCAAGCTAGAGATTAAGCGAAAGCTATTATACGGACTCAGCAATGCTAAGCCTGGTAACAAAGTTTTCAACACTTTCAGACAATTGGGGCCATATATGCTATTGACTATGTGAAGGCATATCGAAAGTACTTACCGTAATTTTTCACTAACAAGGGAACGATACTTGGTATCCGTGGGCTTTTGAGACGAAACGCTGATTCTGAATCTGAATGCCTTTTCTGCTAATCTTTTCTTTAAAAGGAGTATGAAGGATTTTGCGTCAATGATCGCCCAAGAGAAATATACGGCCGAGGATGCCTAACAATCAAAAAGAAGCTTTATTGAGACAATGCAAAACTGAAAAATATAGAAGGACTCGATCCTAAACTTCCATTAACTTGTGAGACTATCGGACTAGCCACTACACCACATTGTAGCTGCGGCTTCGGCATTCCGACCATGTCTCCTTTGGCGCAAAAGTCCTTCATAACCTTTTTCGGAGAAACAACTGGCAAACTGGAAGTCAGAATCGGAATCAGCCCTCCAAGACGAGTGGCATACATTTCATCTCACAAGGCCACGGACATCGAGTATCGTTTCCTTGTAAGAGGCACCTTGATTCGTCTTTTATCGTAAATTTAAGGCGAAGCCAGCTCTATAGGACCAGAAGATCAGCAAAAGCTATTCAGTTGAAAATTAGTTATTAACGATCAAGTGTTCCATACATTTTTTATATTTTGGTACACCCTGCATAATTTGCATTTCTTCTTGGAAACACGACCAAAAATCGTTTGCGGAATTTTATAAGCTCATCTGATCCTTTTCAAGCTCCATTGTAGCGATTATGAAGAAGTCCCACAATTCTGTGAATTAGAGAACAAACCCGACTTCAACTGTCGTATACCCAATTTCCAGTAGTTCAGCCCAATCTTAACCCAAGAACACACTCAAAACTCCTTGTTCACAATCCCCAATGATCACAATCCCACAATCACTTCTGTGCGTGTCTCCATTTCCAGTCTCCATTTAAAAACTCAATCTCACAGGTGCTCGTCGATTTCAGATCGTGACGAACGTGATCTGTTATATGCATTCGGCGATAGTCTTCTTCTACCTTTTCACCGACACGGCCCATCACCACCCATAGGTCACTTTGGCATGAACCACCGCACCAAGCACTTTAGTCGAAAATCCACATGTGTTGTGTGCATGCGACAATTCTAGGTTATTATCATCGATTCAGATGTTATTCAAGCTATAACCACTAAGCTTGTCTCCAACATGGAAAAGCCTAGATGTCTCGAGTTACATGAATTGGGTGCCGAGTGATATAGAGGACTCTTAGAGTCCACAAATCTTTCGATAACAGAAAATCAATCATTTTCATTTTAGAGACAATTCAGCAAGGGCCAAAAGGAGAACGTGGAGAGCCGGGACCACCAGGAGTGGTAGGTGGCAATGTATAAACTACCAATAACGATAGTTCAATATTTAGTGCGTGCAACAATGCCGGGATGGTCCGCCAGGGCCGAGTGGTCCCATTGGACCGCAAGGACCTCAGGGTATTGAAGGTAATCAGGGTCCACAATCCCTTGTCTGCTCAAACAGCTTTTAACTCAGTGAAAAAAAAAATGATTCAGGCCCACCTGGACCTCCTGGACCACCAGGGGAACCTGGCTATGTTCAAACGTCACAATTTGGGGAAATGCAGCCTATGCCTGGCCCACCAGGACCACAAGGTCCACCTGGGCCTCCAGGGCCGCAGGGCATTCAAGGTAGCCGTCTATTTTACATCTCCTAAACTTCGGATGTGTATTTTTAGGTCCGCGAGGTGAAACCGGTTATCCCGGACGAGATGGTCGTGATTTTCAGGGTTTGTCTGACAGAGACATTGAGCTAATTGTCAGGCATCCTCTACTCAAGGTAGAATCTGTGAATTCATGGTAGCATTCTTAACAGGAAGTTTATTCCAGGGAGAGAAAGGAGAGTGCGTCCACACAACCACTACCGTCTTTCAACCAGCTCCTATAGAGAATGTGTTACCGCAATATGAACGTGAGCCGTCACGCCAAGGGCCTCGGGGAGAGAAAGGAGAAAGAGTAGGCTAATATCCAGTGATCTTAAGTCCGACTAGCTCTTGGATCTGCCAATGTTTATTTGAAGGGAGACCGCGGAATGCCAGGACCGCAAGGACCAGCTGGACCACCTGGGCCACCTGGACCGGCGGGACCAGGAGCGGGGCATCAGGTGCCGTACGCAGGAGGGGACTGTAAGTGCGAATCTTTTTTGATAAAGTTACCTTTGAGAAAAATGTGCGACAAAACGAAAAAAAATTAATTCTACTTTTTGTAGTCTTGCTAAAATTTGAGAATTTTTTGAGACGTATAGTGGTCAATGAAGCGAATGTCATTAGATATCTTAAGCAATACTTTTCTTTTTGTATTTTTTTACCTACCTGTCATTTACAAACAAATAATAACGATGTAAAGACGTTCCATCGAAGATTTAATTGACCAATATATAGCAAAATTCCCCCATATCACTCATGAATTTTTTTCAATTACCTCTCCTAGCAGTTTTAGCAGTCACAGTTCAAGCTCAATTATTTAGCATCCCTTTTTTACAAAGCAGTTTGAAAATTCTTCAAAAATAGCATACATATTATGCTGTTTTCAGCAATTGTGCGGGTCTATCCGAGCACACATGAATTGTTTTCCTCTCGAGTACACATTGGAACTCTTGCATTTGCTACCGCTACGCAACAACTTTATATCAAAGTGAATAATGGCTGGAAGGAAGTTATGGTAAGAGTGAATGAGATTACTCGTTTTTATTAAAAAAAAATATCATTTCCAGCTCGGCGCATTCCATCCAATAGTGGAGCAACGTCAGTCTGTGGTGAGCTTGATAAGTGATAAATTAATTCATCTATAATTATTATGACAATTAGATGTAAAGCTTAGGCAAATTGGCCCGAAAAAACGTCGGCATTGAAAACTTCGATCATTTGTTCCATTCGTTTTCCAATTACAATGAATCTCATAATTTCTGCAAAAAAAAACTCGACATCACCTGAGTTAAGTGACATCACCGTAGCGCCATATCTCCCTTGATTGTGGACGTAATCTGAACCCTAGGACATCGTCATTCGAATTAGCTTGACGAGGCACATCTTTAGATGCATTAAAGCACCTGTTTTGGATACGGTGTCTGCACGGTAGGCAGCCAGATTTCACAAACGTATGCAACTTTCGTACGGTAGATTAGCTAGGGTGCCGTGAACCAGCATCCTGGGTAACCTCACACAAGCAAAAACCGAAAGATGCGAATTTGGGTGCCAACTGTGCGCCGACAGTGATGACCAAACGGGCCCTATACGATGGTCCTCGTCGAGCTGAATTGAATGGTGCCATTAAATTCCAATTCCGTCCGCTTTGAAGCGCTAGGTGATGTCATTAACTCAGGACCGTTGCGCCTTTTCTATAGAAAATGAAAAATGAGCGGGTACTCCAAATTTCTTATCATGCAACGCTAATCTGCAACGGCACCTTGAATAAAATAGGTAACAACTGTTTTTCACATCACCATTTCTTCGTATGACTAACCCTAAAGCTACATTTCTATTGCACGTATGCTTGTACGTACAACTTTTATGCTTGACTGAATAGAAGGAAGTTCTTTCAACCTAATGATGCGGCAGACAATTATCTCCTACTGGTGATCAAAGACACTAAAAACTGCAAAGAAAACTCTGCGGTCTTAAAAGTAAGAATAATGTCAAAACAATGTCATTTTTGTTCCATTTAGCCGATAATAGTTGAGCCTGACTTGCAATCGAATCATTTGGAATACTGGGTAAGTAATGTTGTGCAGTAGTGCGTCATTCCAAAATTCATAAAATGCAAATGCGATGCTACACTACACGTCACAAAAATCAACACTTGCCTCATTGGAGATTTCGCGTGCGCTCGTATCACTCAAAGAAAAATTTGCGAAATTTTTTTTGTTCATCTGGTGCACCCGAATTCTCCGGCCATATTGTCGCTTAGTGACCATGTTGTGATCTTGCCCCCTATATTAGTTACGTGATCAATATTCACACTGAGTTTGTCAATCGATATATTGATTGCTTGTTTGAAAGAAGTTGATCTTATCTTAGCGGGACCAAGAGACGATGTCTCGGCACCGGCCATGCGTACGGCGCTCAGTTACGGTAATTGCGAGCTCTTCTTATCATACCAGGCATACCGTATACATACAGAATTATACAGTTTGAATAACAAAAATTATTAGGTGTACGGTATGTAAAGGTGGCACCGTTTTTTTCGTTGGCTTTTCGCCAGCCAGCACTTATTGCACACTGTTTTCACGTTAGTTAGTTGTTATATGAGGGCATGAACGTATAAGGGACAGAAAATTGTATGGTGCCATTGATAGAATAGGGCAGTCACGTAGCGTGACTGTCTGGTATTCATACATTCTAGTCTTTAGCGTCCCTTAGTTTGCCTCAAACCGCTCGTGATGTCGCCGTCTTGTCATCTTCTCCTAATTTCCTACGTTGTGATAAGCTATCTGTGAAACTACTGGCTTCAAATCACATAATTCCTTGAGAAAAAATTACATTTAGGAAACCGCTCGACCAGTCTCCAGACCGCCACCGTTAGCACCACAGCCAGTGTCACGACCTCCTCCATCGGGTCCTCGTCGAGAACTTATTGGACCAGCTCCTCCTCCGGCATACCCCGCGCCACCTCCGTATCCTGCCCCTCCGCCGCGGTACCCAGCTCCATATGCAGGACATCCTCCTCCTGCGCAACCAATGCCTTCCATATATCCACGAGATGAAGCCGCTCCGCCCGTTCTAGCTTATCAAAGGGAGAAACCGGCACCTCCCCCTCAAAGGGAGAGACCAGCACCTCCCCCTCAAAGGGAGAAACCAGCACCTCCGCCGCCACCACGATTCCACCCAAGACCACCTCCAAGTGAGGTTGGTATGCATAGAGACCGTTCGGTGAGCTCGTACTTCACATGAAGTAGAGAGGCCAAGTTTTAATCTCAATGACAATTTCTTCAGATCCATCTGATCGCTTTGAATAATCCTTACGATGGAAACATGCGTGGAATGCGCGGCGCGGATCTCCAATGCTATCGCGAGGCAAGAATGGCTGGTTTTACAACTACCTTCCGTGCAATGCTTTCTAACAATGTGCAGGTAAGCATCAAGCATAACTCAGTGCAGGTAACTGAAAGTTTTTTTTGAGGATTTGCTCCGAATTGTCCACACAGCCGATTGGGACACACCTGTAGTAAACATTCGTGGTGAGCATTTATTCGCAAGTTGGAGAGCAGTGCTCAATGATGGGCAACGCACAACTCGTCCACTGTACTCATTTGACAAGCGTGACGTCATTGTTGATGACCACTGGTGAGTGGTTTCTAAATATTTGGGCTGAAGACACAGGAAAAGTTTTCTGGTAGGCCAGACAAGCGCATATGGCATGGGACGAAAAGCGGTGGAATACGCGCTGGTGACTACTGTGATGATTGGCGATCTAACTACGGTAACGATTGATGAAAGGATTGAGGTTACTGTAGCACAAATTTACCTCCAGGTTCTCTGTCTGCTATGGCTGGAGATTTGCGAATCCCAGGTGGTTTGATTGTGGAAGCTCGGCCAACCAGCTGCGACCACAGACTTATCGTTCTCTGTGTGGAGGTAAAGAGATTACATTATCCACGACGCAGATTAGTTTTTTGCGATATAATCCAATCTGCAGACTGCGTTTTTCCACCTACTTTTGCACCTGTTATTTTCTTGCAGAATATGTCAAGATACAACACTGACCGAATTCTCAAGAAGAAACGATTGCTTGATTTCGTCTTCTAAGTCACTACTCCACGCCATGAGCTACACCAGCCGCTGCGTATTGAGGAACGATACTGTACTGTAGGCGTCAAATCGTAATTTGCATATTTTCCCTATCACCCTGAAACACATCTCAATAAGGAGTCTGCCGTCACGTCCGGTGTTGTTCTTGCCATTCCCTCCGTTGTAATAATTTCACTTGTATTTTGTATATTTATCGCCCGTATAAGGTGATATGTCATTAAGATCACACCGGATATAACTTATTTATTTTTTTTATTTTTTCTAGATAATTTTCATGCAATAATGCACAAATGCCACCGAAATCTTTCACTAAGTTTTGTTTTAGGTCGCTTCTATATGTGCAATGTTTGTATAGATCTGTTCAAGATACTGAAAACTTTAAGTAATAATATTTCTTATAAAGCAGAATCTCGTCTTGAAGCTTTGCTCTGTAGAAAGTCATGCATATGTCTTTTGAAGCCCTGCCATCAGAAATTTTTTGGCGTTTATATTACTGTGTTATTATAGAGCAGATATTGGTCGTCGCAACATTTGTTTAGTCTTGCGTTTTTCAAACATTGTGATAAAAAATGTTCAGTTGGAATTGATTTCATTGTTCAATTGGTATGCAGATATAGAGTTTCTAGTTTTAGCGATAGAATTATACCGCGATTTTGATTTCCGGGTTGGAGCTACGGAGGACCCTGCGGAAAAAATGGAATTCGAAGACAACTCAAGATTTGGCACCCTCACAAATTTGAACTAGTCGCCGTGTGCAAAGCAGTTTGGGAAGCGGGCAGGGAAGCGTTAATCACTAAGGAGTCGAAGTCTCAGAATTCGCCAAAACTTTGCATGGTGGGGTTATTTGCCCTGCCGAATAGGAATATCATATTCATTCATCAAATTAACGCCTTTTTCCTTGTTTAGCGTGAGTTTCCATACCGTAAGCATAACTTTATAAAAAAGCCCTTACCATGCGAAACCAATATCGTTTTTGTGTCAGCATGTGAGATAACCTTATCAAACAAGCAGCGGTTTTCCTCAAGGAACCTCCTTAGGACCACTTCTATTTCTACTTTATATAACTGATTTACCTGTATGTCTACCCAGTAATATCTTCTGCTCCATCTATGCCGATGAATACAAAACTCTTCTGCTATAATGCAGATGCAAAGAGCTTCAGATGCGGTGGAGGATTGGTCAGTCAAATGGGAGCTTGATATCTCGGTAGAAAAAACATGTATCATGTTTGTTGGAGGCAAACATCCCCAATTTCACAATTTTCACTCAAAAAATCAAAAAGTTCAAATGACAAATCTCATCAAAGATCTCGGTGTCACTTATTCTGAGACCTCAACTTTGAGTAATACATAGAAGAGCGTGCTAGGATAGCTCACGCTAGATGTAATTACATACTGCACGCCTTTCGAACTACAAAAGTTGAAAATAGCTTCCAAGTCCCGTTTTCATGAAACCTGGGCATGTGTCGTAAGTTCAAATTTCTTTTGTGCCGTACAGGTTTGAGAAGTGGTCTTTATTTCTTCCAATCACGGCCTTACGTTTCGACGCCTTTCGTCTTCCTCAGAGGCCGGAAGACCACTGCAACTCGAGTAGTCTGCACCGGATATAGGCAGTCGCGGCAGACGAGTCGAGTTGCAGTGGTCTTCCGGCCTCTGAGGAAGACGAAAGGCGTCGAAACGTAAGGCCGTGATTGGAAGAAATAAAGACCACTTCTCAAACCTGTACGGCACAAAAGAGATTTGAAAGTTGAAAATCTTTTCTCGCCTCTTCTCCACTCATGTTCGACCATTACTAGAATACTGCACTCCTGTGTGGTCTCCTTCTACAAAGAAAATGATCAATACCCTGGAAAGAGTACAGAAGTCATATACTGCACGAATATTTGCGAGAGCAGGGCTGTTTCGGTTACCTTACAAATCGCGACTTTCCATGCTTGCTGCTTCCTCACCCTCACTAAGAAGAGAAATTTGCGACCAAAACCCTGTCTACAAAATTATAACCAAGAAAATCAACCTTGCAATGCAAGATTTCTTCATATTTTCTAATTTCAACAATATTACCGGAGGGTACGATTTCAGACTCACAGTGAGAAAAGTACGTATACAACGGTTTCACGACTCTTTCTTGGTACGTATCATCAGAACATGGAAAGCACTCACTGAGAAGGTTATCAAAACTACATCCATATTCGTATTCAACAGAGAAGTACTAAAGGGTTTGAAATCCAAAGGATACTTCTGATAACATTGTTTACAGAATACTGACTATGCCCTATTCGGTCAATTTAATCAATGTTACAATTGAAGACGATGTCTGCTGCTGCCAAAAAATCTGCATCCATTTTCATTTCTATCTTTCTTCTTTTCAAGTGTTTCCAAATCATGCTTATGACCAAATATTAGGTCATTCCGAAAGTAATTTCGCTTTTTTCAAAGGGGCTTCACATCTGAAGGAACGAAGTTTTCTGAGAGATCTTGGAAGTATTCGATGCAGAATTTCATCCTCTTTCTAATGGTTATAAAACCGTTGCAGCATAGTCAATGAGCTCTTGGAAAACTACCAAAATCTGCGACCCATGCTTTTTGAGATGCTCATGTTTTACAATTTTTCTGGAATTTTATATCAACCCTTTGAAAGAGACCAAGTAAAGGTTTGATAGAGCAAACCTCAGAGGATACGCCGCAACTTTTTTCTCGTTCCCATGTCTCGCCAGAATTTTTTAAAAGATTTTTCATTAAAATCATCGGATTTTGGAAGGCCTACGTCAGCCACATTCGCATCAAACACCAATAAATCTTCGGAATCTGAACCATCCAAGACAGTGCTACAATTTAGCACTAATTTTACAAAACGAATGAGGGTTTACGGAATCGAAATATCTAATTTCGAACTTTCCGGGTACACCCCGGTACGCGTTCGAAAATGTGAATTATGATGATTTTGTCCCCGAAAACTCCATGAAGCGGAAATAGAAAACACATATTAGAAAGAGGGGGAAAAGCTGCATCGAATGATACCCGAGCTGCTCACCGTTTGCTGTTCTACGAAGTTTGAGTTGACCATGCATGGAAACTGGTAGCATCAATTAAAATTCTATTCAAAAAATACGAGTTATGGAAAGGAGAAAAAACTTGTTTTTATTCTGTAGGGTTTGCGTTATCCCCGATGCTTGAGCGTCATCGGAGGATTGATATAAAATTTTGAAAAATAGCTAAACTTGACCATGGCAAAAAGCATTTTTTTATCCTTGCATTCTTCCCGTTATTCGGGGTCTGCTGCTCTTGTGAGTTTTCTCCATTCTTTTCGGTCCAAGGCTTGCTGTTCAGTTATTTCAAGCTCTCTCATATCTGCTTTGACTCTGTCTAGCCATCGCATCTTAGGTCTTCCTCTTGGCCTCTTTCCTGGTACGCTTTCTGTCATGGCCAGTCTAGTTATGTGATCATCGTCTCGCCGGCTTACATGCCCACACCATCGTAGGCGTCGTTCTTGCATCTTTTTGACGACAGGGGCGACCTTCATCATGCTTCGTATTGTGTCGTTCGTGACGTGGTCCAGCATGGTAACTCCTACAGTCCACCTCAGCATCCGCGTCTCCATTACGCCGATCTTTCTCTCTTTGTTGCAAGTACACGGCCAGCATTCGCTTCCATAAAGCGCCGTCGGTCGAATGACTGTTCGGTATATCAACGACTTGAGGTTTCGTGGCATCCGTCTATCACACAGGACTCCCGTCATGCTTCTCCATTTCATCCAAGCTGCATTCGCTCTGCTCGGTACTTCGTTGTGAAGACTGCCATTTGCGGAGATACGGCTTCCCAGGTACTTGAAGGAGGTGGTCTTCTTGATTTGCGTGTCTCCGTTCTGGATGCTCCCGCTCCTATCTCCATATACTCTGTCTTCGTTGCATTCAGCTTCAATCCGTGCAGCTCTAGCTGATCTTTCCACTTCTGCACTTCCATCTGTAATTCTTGCCTGCTTCTCGCTAGTAGTACTACATCGTCCGCGTACATAAGTGCCCACGGTGGTTGCCGTATGAAGTCTTTGACGATCGCATCCATCACGGTGATGAACAGCAGCGGTGAGAGTACCGAACCTTGATGTACGCCAGCGTGTATCGTGAATTCTTCTGATGTTCCTGCAGCTGTCTGGACATGGCTTCTGGCGTCTTTGTATATCATTTGTATCCACTGTACACAGTCTTCTGGTACCATGTGCTTACGCAGTGCCCACCATACTATTTCGTGCGGAACTTTGTCGAATGCCTTCTCGAGATCTATGAACGCGGCGTGTAGTTGACATTGCTTCTCCCTGCTTCGTTCGATCATTATTCTGGCTGTATGGATGGCGTCTGTCGTACTACATCCCTTCACGAATCCACATTAATTGGGGGCTAGCTCTATGATGCTTCGAAGTCTTGCTTCCAGTATTTTTTCGAATATCTTCAATGTATGGCTCATGAGACGTATCGGTAGGTATGTAGAGCAGTCTGCTATATCCCCCTTGTTCTTCCACACTGGTATCGTTGCACTCTTATACCAATCGTCGGGCATCTTCTTGCATTCTACTACTCGGTTTAGAAGTCGTGTTAACCATTCAACTCCAGCTTGGCCGCACTCTTTCTCAGAATTCGTTGGGAATGTCATCTCGGCCTTTGCTTCGCTGTTTTTCGTCTTCGTTATAGCATTGCGGACTTCCTCCTCTGTGATCTTCGTTACCGGTCCTTGTACAGGTTCAGCTACTATGGTAGATGGCTTTTCGTAGCTTGTAGATGACATTGCTTCGAAGTGTGTTCGCCATCGTGCGCCTATCTCTTCTGGGCTTCTCAGGATTCTTCCGCAGACATCCTTGATATTATAGTAGTGGTCCGTATCTTGCAAGGCTTTTGTTCTTCTTTTGGCTATCCGGTATATATCTCGCTCGCCTTCACGAGTGTGCAGCTTTCTGTAGACCTCTGCCATATAAGCATCCTTCGCCTCTCTGACATTCTTCTTTGCTGCACGCTTTGCACTCAGATATTCTTGACGCGCATCTTCTCCTCCTGATTTCTGCCATACCCTATACGCCATCTTCTTGTTCTTGATCACTTCTTGTACGGTACCATTCCACCACCATGTTTCCTTTTCGAGCTTCAGCCTTCCCGGTTTCGTGCGTCCTAGTAGATTACTCGCAATCTGATGGACGTTGTTCTTCAGATGCATCCATGAGCGGTCTGGTTCTTCTTCCATTTCTGGTAGAGCTGACTCCATTGCTGCTTTCGCTTGAAGGTTGTTCTTGAGCTTCCACCATTTGATGTGCTCTCTACCGTCCGTCCTTGCTCTTCTTCTTCTACTGATGGGGATATTCAGGTCTAGAAGCAGTGGCCTGTGTTGAGGTACGCAGCCTTCGCCGGGAATGACTTTGCTGTCCTTCACGTACTTGAGTTCACTCTGTCACACCATCCAGAAGTATATCTGCGATTTGCGGTCTCCGCTGGCATATGTGACTAGATGATTTGTCTTTTTGATGAAGTACGTATTCGCTATTGCCAAGTTATGAGACATTGCGAACTCCAGAATGCGCTCCCC